CATCTCCTCTTCCTCCATCCCCCCCAACATCATCATCTCCTCCTCCATAACCCCCAACATCATCATCTCCTCCTCTGTCCCCCCCAATATCATCATCTCTTCCTCTATCCCCCCAATATCATCATCTCCTCCTCCATCCCGCCCCAATATCATCATCTCCTCCTCCATTCCCCCCCAGCATCATCATCTCCTCCTCCATTCCCCCCCAGCATTATCATCTCCTTCTCCATCCCCCCCAACATCATCATCTCTTCCTCCATCGCCCCCAACATCATCATCTCCTCCTCCATCCCCCCCAATATCAACATCTCCTCCTCCATCCCCGCCAACATCATCATCTCCTCTTCCATTCCCCCCAATATCAGCTCTTCCTCCATCCCCCCCCCAATATTATCATCTCCTCCTCCATCCCCCCCAACATCATCATCATCTCCTCCACCCCCCCCAAACATCATCATCTTCTCCTCCATCCCCCCAACAAACATCATCATCTCCTCCTCCATCCCCCCCCCAACATCATCATCTCCTCCTCCATCCTCTCCCAACGTCGTCATCTCCACCTGCATCACCCCAATGTCGTCATCTCCACCTGCATCACCCCAACATCATCCCTTCCTCCTCCATCATCTGCTCGTCCTGTATCAGGTCTCCATCCATCATCAACGCCACCTCCTCCAACTCTTCCTCTGTCCTCTTGCCCTTCGTCACTATCTCCTCCTCTGTCACCTACCACCACTTCCTCCTCCATCACCACCACCTCCATCACTGCCACCACCACAACCTCTTCCAACACCACCTTCACCTCCATCACTACCACCACCTCCTCCATCAGTCTACTCTTTCTCCATCATTGTCTACTCTTTCTCCATCACCACCACCACTTCAACTCTACCTCCTCCTCCTAAACTATCTCCTCCATTGTTATCTTCACCTCTTCCATCATTGTCTGTTCTTTCTCCATCGTCGTCTGCTCTTTCTCGATCATCATCTCCTCCTCTATCACCACCTCCTCCATAACCACCACCTACATCGTGACCTTCACCTCTTCCATTATTGTCTACTCTTCCTCCATCATCATCTTCTCATCACTGCCACTTTCACCTCTGTCATCATCTACTCTTTCTCCATCACCACCTCCTCCACCATAATCACCTCCCTCCATCATCACCTTCACCTCTTCCATCATTGTCTACTCTTTCTCCATCATTGTCTCCTCCTCCATCATCATCTGCTCCTCCTCCATCATCACCACCTCCTCCATCAGCACAGTCTTTATCATCTGTCCTGGAATCATATAATGCTTAAGGTCCTTGTGAAGATGTGTGGCTCAGGTTGTAGGTGTGGTTGTTGGCTAGTTCACTGAGCTGGCTGATTATTCTACAGACATTTCATCATCATGCTAAGTAACATCATCAGCGTGATCGCCAATGAAGCGATGTTGTTCTACTCTGCTTGGTATTTATATGATCTAGTCTGTTAAGTTGGGTTGTGTCAAATCATTTCCGGTTCTGTTCTGCATGGGTTTGTATATGGGGTCTAATTCCACATGTTTGTTAATTGCATTACGGGTTGAAAACCAGGCTTCTAGGAATTCTCATGCGTGTCTGTGGTTGACTTGAGCTAGGATGGCCTTCATTGTCCGAGTGCACTGAGATGAGAGAAAGTTTGTCATGTCGTTTTGCTGCTAGCTGCTATTTGTGTGTCCTGATGGCTGGTTTCCTTCTGGTCTGGCTGATGTAATGTTTGTTGCAGTCATCGCAACAAAGATATTTTTAAAACTAAGATCATGGGTATGGGACCTTTGGTCCTTGTGAGTGTTTGTCGTAGAGTGGCTATGGGTTTATGTGCTAACATGATTCCTAGTGGTTGCAGGAGTTTCATCAGTTCTGATATGTTCTTGGTATACGGTAGTGTGGCCCATGTTTGGGGCATACTGTGTCATCTTGCCATTCTCTATCTAGTAGGCAGCTGTGGAAGTTGTTGGGATATCCGTTGTTAGCAAAAACCTCATATAGGTGCCCTTTCTCCTACTGTCAGGGTAGAATGAGTGACCAACGGGGAGTTCCAAACCACAGTAAATAGGAAGGCAACCCACACTGACCAAATCCTCAATTTCCACAGCAATAACCCCAATGTCCAGTGGTAGGACACTATTCAAACAGGCCGCAACTCATTGCAATATGCCAGAACTATGTAGGAAGAGCACCTACACAAAGTCCTTGCTAACAATGGATATCCCGACAACTTCATCCTCAGGTGCCTACTTGACAGACAACAGCAAGAGGACACAGTATGCCCCAAACATGGGCCACACTACCCTATATCAAGAACATATCAGAACTGTCAACGAGATCCAGCGAATCATGGGATCATAGGAATCATGGTAGCACACAAACCCACAGCCACACTATGACAAACACTCACAAGGACCAAAGGTCCCATACCCATGACATGCAGGACCAACATAGTTTACAATGACTGCAACAAATATTACATCGGCCAGACCGGAAGGAAACTAGCCATCAGGATACACAAACACCAACTAGCAGCAAAAGGACACAACGAGCTTTCCCTCATCTCAGTGCACTCGGACAATGAAGGCCATCAATTTACCTGGGACAACATGACCATCCTAGCTCAAGACAACTACAGAGATGCACGGGAATTCCTAGAGGCCTGGTTTTCAACCCATACTGCAATCAACAAACACATGGAATTAGACCCCATATACAATGCCATACAGAACAGAACTGGAAATGACACAACCCAATTTAACAGACCGGATCATATAACTACCTGGCAGAGTAAAACACATCGCTTCAGCGGAGGCTGCACTGATGATGTTACCCAGCGTGGTGATGAAACGTCTGTACAATAACCAGTCAGCTTGGCGAGCAAGTCAACAACCTCATCATATAATGCTGCTCATTACATGTCCACTCTGTACACAACAGATGACAATTTTGATCTATGCTTGTCCACTGTCTTCAATGTTCCCACAACCTTCAGTCAAACTTTATGTAGAATTCCTGGTTTTGTTGTTTCTCATCTCACCGCAGACCAATCCCAGAATCCCCCTTTCATTAATATCCAGTAGTTATTCCTTCCGCCTCAATGTTATCCAAGTTTCTGTACTAATTGAT